TCCCGTGAATAATCAAGGGTAGCAAAAAAGAAGTAGGCGGGAAAAATAGGAAGATCGAGAATTATTGATATTAGCGTAGTAACGTATTGTACCTACGTATTTGTTTTGTGAATCGTTTAATTCATTGATAAATAAAGCACTATTAAATACCGTGTTTTACCAATTGTCGATGCTTTTTTTTCATGGTGCCGAAACCCGGGAAAGAGGAAAGTGAATCGTGGAACTTTAATAACGGACAATTCGGTTTCTAACGGACGTGCCGGTATTGACAGTTAAAGTGTAAAAATTTAATTAACGTCATAACGTGAACTGTTTGTCAAAAATAGTGCATTAACGGAAGCATATCATGAATCAAGCGCTAAAGAAAACGTATCGGACGCAGCTAACGAAACTTGTGGATCGGGCTAACGAAATGTCTGATGATAACGCGCCGGTTGACCACAAGGAAGCTATTGTTTTAATTAACAGACTGAAATCGGTGAACGACTCGTTAAAACGCGTAAATATTGAAGTAGCAAGTGAGATACCCGTCGATAAGATTGAATCAGAGTGCGAGAAAATTATCGAATACGAAGATAAGGCGGTTGCAGCGATTGCCAGGTTGGAATTCGAACTATCAAGCGCGGGTGGAAAATATGCAGCCAGCATCGTCGACGCCGAAGAAGACGTGGGGTCCATTACAGCCGAAGGACGTGCAGCCAGAGCAGCTTCTACAAGGGCAGAAACCAAAAGGGCGGTGAGATTACCCAAATTAGAATTAGTAAAATTTAACGGTGATTATAAAATGTGGCCTGCCTTTTGGGAGCAGTTTGAGACTGCTGTTCACAATAATAACGATCTAGGGGAATCTTCTAAGTTTACATATTTAAAGTCTGTTTTAACTGGAAATGCTTCAATAACCGTTCAAGGTTTAACGTCCAGTAGTTCAAGCTATAAAGATGCAGTTGAGCTTTTAAAGGAGCAGTACGGAAATAACGAAAAAATTGCCGATAACTACACTCAACAGCTGTTAGCTTTAACTCCAGTCAAAACCACAAATGATGTTTCATTGAGAAAATTATACAATACAGCTTCAAAAATAACGCGATCTCTGCAGACGCTGGGAGTGTCTCCACAAAATTATGGGATGATGGTGAAATCTATTTTATTAAAAGCACTACCCTTTACTATGAGAACTGAATTCCTCAAACGACAGGTTACAACTAATGATAATGATGATAACGAGTCTGTTGCTGGAAGTGTCATAAGTTCTAAAGAAATCTCATATGAACATCAAATTTCTCAACTTTTAAACTTTATTAAGTTAGAAGTAGAATCAATTGAACAGGCTAAAGTTTTGGAAGATGAGCCTAAAAGTAACGAGAAAAATTCAGTTCACAAAAATAGATTTCAGAAATCTAGTGATAAAACGTGCACAGCAGCAGGTTTGCTTACATCTGTAAAAGAACAGTGCTTGTTTTGCAACTCTAACGATCATGGCGCGATGGATTGTGATAGCAAAATAACGCTGGCGCAAAAGAAAGAGATTTTAAAATCTAAAGGGTGCTGTTTCCGATGTACCAAGTCGAATCACAATTCAAGGTTTTGTCGAGTAAATGTATCTTGCGCAAAGTGTAAAGCGAAACACGCAACGTCTATGTGTGATCCAGATTATAAGAAGAAATCTGCAACTGTAACTGAATCCACGAAAAATGACGCATCGAGTAGTAAATTTGAGTCGACAAATTTGTTAGCGAACGGGTGCTTAGGCAAAATAATTTATTTACAAACCGCTTGTGCACAAATAATAACGAACAGTGGCGTACCTAAGAGTTTTTTACGTATGGTTATAGATGGAGGTAGCCATTTAACTTTTATCAAAGAATGTGTGTCACGAAAGCATAACTTACCTGTTATAGGGACACACAAAATATCGATAATGCCTTTTGGAAAATCTGAAAGGGCTCCGGCTCGCTTATGTCGAAAAGTATCATTAACGTTGAAAAGCGAGTATATTAACGATGAGGTGACTATCAACGCGATTGAAGTGCCCGAAATTTGTTTTGATTCATTGAGCGCACCGTCATTAAAAGAACCATTGATACATGAGTTCAGCATAAATTATCGATTAGCGGATTTGTGCGACTCTAACGTTAACGTTCATCATGGAATATCGCTTTTAATTGGTTCTGATTTTTATTGGAAGATAGTGACCAATAACACGAAGAAAATCACTGAAGACTTGATGGCGATCGAAACCAAATTTGGTTGAACAATTCACGGTGTAGGCAGCGGACATTTTAACGAATACGCGTTTTCGGTCGGGATTAACGTGGCGAACATTTTACACGTACAGTGCGAGCTCGATTGTGAGACTGTTGGTAACGGGTTAGAAAACTTTTGGACTCTTGAAACAATCGGGATAAACAATGATAACGTGACGGACAAATCTCATACAAAACACTTTTTAGATGAGAATATAACTTTTGAAAACGATAGATATTGTGTTGCCATGCCTTGGATAGAGCCAAACGTACGGGTTGATTCTAACTTTAACGGTGCCTTCAATAGGCTAAAGTCATTAACGCGCAAACTCAACGAACGCGGCAAACTTCGGGAATACGATTGTGCGATGCGTGAATACATGAACAATGATTGTGCCGAACTTTTACCGGAAGTGACAAATGACATTCGAATTTATTTTATGCCGCACCGGGCGGTATATCGGGATGACAAAGACACTTCAAAATTAAGGATCGTGTTTGACGCGTCGGCGCACGCCCCTGGTATGCCTTCGTTAAATGACGTACTTTTGCAAGGCGAAAATTTAGTGCCGTTTCTTTTACGAATTTTAATGAACTTTCGTGTCGGACGAGTTGCATTTACAGCCGATATCGAGAAAGCTTTCTTGCAAATCGCTATAGCAGAACGCGATCGTAATTCTCACAGTTTTTTGTGGTATAGCGTTCCTATTGATGACGTCAATAATCTTCCACGAATATCAAAATATCGAATGAAACGTGTAACGTTTGGGATTAAGTGCAGTCCCTTCTTGCTGGCGGTTACACTTAAGAAACTTTTACAATCGCAGCCGGAAAATCTAGCAGACACTTGCGAAATTTTGAGGTCTTCATTCTATGTGGATGACTTGGTAGTAGCAGTTGATAACGTAACTCAAGCCGAACGTATTTACTAAGAGTCCAAAGAAATTTTAGCTAAAGCTAATATGAATTTACGTAAGTGGAACAGCAATGACGTTTCGCTCAGAAAATTGATGAAACGCGAGGAAAACGTTAATGCCAAGAAAGTACTTGGAATTTTATGGTACCATAACGATGACGAGTTAGCAGTAGATATAACTTCAGTTTTAAATGAAATCGATAATAAATCTATAACGAAACGTGGGGTGCTACAAATAGTATCGAAAATTTATGATCCACTTGGCTTTATGAGTCCCTTTTTGGTAAGAGCAAATAAGATATTGCTCCAAGAAATTTGGAAACTTAAGGTCGACTGGGATTCAACCACACCTGATAATATCACCAATGAATGGTTGAGATGGTGTTTTGAACTGAAATCTTTGAAACATTTTTCGTTTACCAGATGTGCACTCGAAGACAGAAACTCCGAAGTTTCACTTCACATTTTTGCGGACGCGAGCCCAAAGGCGTATGGAGCAGTGGCGTATCTCAGAGTAGTTAACGAAAACGAAGTCGAATGTAACTTTATCATGTCTAAGGGTAGAGTAGCTCCAATTGACAAAAAGGGAGATAAGAGCTTAACGTTACCAAAACTGGAACTCACCGCGGCAGTCTGTGCAACTCGACTTCAGAAATTTATACTTGAAAATATTGACGTTAAATTTCATTCCTGCACTTTGTGGACAGATTCGAAAATAACGATATATTGGATCATGGGCAAAGCTGACAGGTGGAAACCGTATGTTCGCAGTCGTGTAACTGAAATTAAGAAGAACTCAGTTGGAGTATGGCGCCATTGTCCAGGGGCAGAGAATCCAGCAGATTTACTAACGAGGGGTGTAACATCTAAAGGTCTTATGACATCGGAAGTTTGGAAACATGGACCTAATTGGCTGAAATTTAAACCAGAAGAATGGCCTGAAGAAGATATCGCGATAGGATCTGAAGCATCTGTTTTGCTAGTACAAGGAGAAGAAGTAATCCAGAATAACGAACCAATCTTCAAACTTGAGAGATTTAGTAGTTTGGAGAAAATCTTTCGCATTACCGCTTATGTTAAAAGATATTACCATAATCTAAGAAATAAAAAGAACAAAAGAACTGGAAGCTTGAAGGCTCAAGAGTTAAAGGAGGCTGAAAGATATTGGATAAAGGTAACTCAAGGACAGCATTTTTCAAGTGAAATAGCTGACCTAAGGCGAGGTAAAAAAATTGAACCCTCTTCTCGAGTTTTAACGCTAAGTCCCTTTCTTGATGAAGACGATATAATGAGATTAGGAGGCCGTTTACAGGAAAGCTCCTTACCGTACCAAACGAAATATCCTGTGGTGTTACCTAAAACGTCATTTCTAACGGATAAACTTATTTCGAACTCTCATGTTTCCACAATGCATGGTGGAGTAAACGTGACGATGGTACATATAAGAAAACGATTTTGGATTTTACAATGCAGGCAAAGAGTAAAATCTATACTGAGCAAATGCATAATTTGCAAGAGATTACGAGCAAAACCTGGCAATGAACCTTTTGCACCCTTACCAAGAAGTAGGGTGTCTTCAGCAGAACCATTTAAGGTAACGGGCCTAGATTTCGCTGGACCTCTATACATTATCAACGAATCGAGGCGGCAAAAGGCTTACATCATGCTGTTAACGTGTGCTGTGGTACGTGCCGTACATCTTGAAATAGTTCCTAATCTAACAGCAGAGAGCTGTATTAACGCATTTAGACGGTTCATTTCAAGAAGGGGAGTTCCGGATATCATTTATTCAGACAACGCGAAAACATTTAAGAGAACAGCTTTAGAATTGAAAGAATTATACAAAATAATTTGCACCGATAAATTTCAAAATTTTGTCACAGGACGTTGCATTGAATGGAGATTTATTGTGGAGCGCGCCGCGTGGTGGGGCGGATTTTGGGAACGAATGGTCAAAACTGTAAAAGATGCTCTAAAATTGTCACTTGGAAAGAAATCCCTTGATTGTGACGAACTACAAACCATCATTTCAGAAATTGAAGCTACGGTGAATATGAGACCGCTTACCTACTTGGATGATCAGCCCGAAAATTTAATGTTTTTGACACCAGCACATTTCCTTTTGGGTAGTAACGAATGTGGATTTCATATCAACAACAACCATCCGGATATTAAAAGAAACCAAATTTTGCAAAAATGGAAAAATCGTAACAAGTTAACGCAGAAATTTTGGAAGGTTTGGTCAAATAACTATTTGCAACAATCACGACTGTTCCATAATCAACATCAAGTTCAGTCTAAGAAGATAGAAGTTGGAGATGTGGCTTTGCTACATGACGATAACGTACCAAGACTACTTTGGAAGTTAGTCCGAATAATGAAGTTATTTCATGGACGTGATGGAAGAGTTAGAGCCTGTGAAGTGAAAACTGCCGACCAGACCGTTTTGAGACGGCCAATTCAACTACTATTTCCCTTGGAAATCACTGGGGCCGGGGAGGATGTGGAAAATCCCGTGAATAATCAAGGGTAGCAAAAAAGAAGTAGGCGGGAAAAATAGGAAGATCGAGAANCAAAAATCGTTCTCCGTCTTTATTTCCCTGATTTGCTCTTCGTATTGTTTTTGTTACTCAATCTTTCTTCTTCATTTTTTTAATTCAACAATAATTTGATTTTACAGTTTAGTGGTAGTAAATTTTTTGTGTTCTGTGAAATTCGATTCTATGGAAACTGGTTTCGGGGCTCCCTTTTATTTATGTCACAATTTACGACCCTAGAAAGCCAACATTTTTCTAGGGGAGTTGTTTTAAAGGGAAAAATTTTTTTGATCCTATTTATTAGATTCGATAGATCTGCTTGAAGTTTCATGGGGCGAATTTCGCTAAGCCAATATTCCGAAGACGCGGCAAATTTTCAGGGAGTATATTCCGGGGTCTAAACCGGTGAAGGGGACTATAGCGAAGAAATTTCTAGGGTTGCGAGGGTATATTCTAGGAACGATTTCTTTTGTTTCTTGGGTTGGGCCTTCGCACTATGACCCTTGGAACATGTTCTGCCAGGTTCATATGAACTCAGCAGAGGACTACCTCAAATAACCAAGAAAATGAAAAATGAACTAACTATAATTAGGTGCTAATTAAGTGTCCTATTCCCGAATTAAATGCTTCTTTTTTTAAATTATGAACCTGGCAGAACAGGTAATAATTTAAAAAAAAAAGGAGCACTTAATTCGGGGATATGGCACTTAATTAGCACCTAATTAGCATCTAATTATAGTTAGTTCACTTTTCATTTTCTTGGTATTTTGAAGTAGTGCTCTGGTGAGTTCATATGCACCTGGCAAAACATGTAATATAATACTTTTTGAAAAAAAGGAGCATTTAATTCGGGAATAGGCCACTTAATTAGCACCTAATTAGCACCTAATTAGAGTTAGTTCACTTTTCATTTTCTTGGTTTTTTGAGGTAGTGTTCTGCTGAGTTCATATGAACTACTACTAAGTGAAGAGGGAGAAGGTCTAGCAAGACTTCCCTGGCAGCTGTCGGTGTAGTACTCATTGGTTCTGCTTTGACCACCAAACCACCGCAAGGTAGGCCAAGATAGGCTTAAATACAGTGAGGTATAACCAGAAGGAGACGAGGTTTAGTCCTTATTTCCTCACCATCAGGCTTCGACAGCTCATCAAGTCCGTAGTAGCCTTGTTAACCGCAAGCGTGATGTGATGCTTCCAAGATTGTCTCTTGTCCATTATGATGTATGCGTGTTGGTTGGTGTAAAGAGCTTTTTTCTTAAGGAACTCCTCCTGAAGAGGTTGCCCTACTACTTTCTCCATCGTTTTAAGGGTGAAGGACACTAGGCTGATAGGTCATTAACTCTTGGATTCGTCTTAGGCCTCTTGCCTGCTTTAGGAGTAAAAGCCACGCCTGCCTTCTTCCAGTCCTTAGGGAGGCAGCTCTCCTTAAAGGTTTCTACTAGAATATGCGTTATTGTTTTAATCCCGTTTATAAGGAGAGTGCTGAGACTTCCATCTCCTCCGGTGACCACTAAGTCCGTAGTTAAATTTGTTGGTAGAAGGGGAGAATGGAGGCCTTTTGATGTCGTCTCATCTGCTCAATGGAACCCGGGAAGTGGGTTCGCATTAAAGTATCTCTAGTTGGACCTGTGCGTTCCCCGTCTGGTCCCACCAACGGGGAACAAATTTACATAGTGGCAAGTTTTTTTGGGAGTGAGTGTTCCATGGGAGCGTACATGGGTAATTTTATTTTTTGGTGTTTCTACTCATATTCATCTCATCGTTGCAAAATAATGACCATTTTTGTCACCGTACTTCGAATTAAAATCTAACGAGCAGCAATACCTATTAAAATTCAAGGCTACCAGTTACGCGTGCAAGGAAAATAGTATCGGATTCCGTATTTTCTATGCAAACACTTACCTAATCCAAGGATTGTGAAGGTCTAGTCATCCTATTGTTAAAAATTGCGACGTTTGGGCAAAACGTCCATAAAATCGCGGTCTATTCCACCAAACTTTGTGACCTAGTTCCTATCGGGCGTTCTACGGGTTGACGACTTATGAAAATAGAATGGTAAGTCATTTCATGTCAGTAGCTTCCTCCTATGACCGTGGATGGATTTAGTAGCGACCGGTTTGTCCACTGAAAATAAAACTAATGATTGCAGATCATCGTCTCTACTACTTATTTCCATTAGTTAAGGTTATCGTGTCTCTTGCTTTTCTCGCAGCCCTATCTGCATCATAGTCTCAGTACGAGTAGAAACAATAATATATCGATATCGCTTAAGTATTTAGATAGTGACGATGACCTGAATAAGATACGCCAGTCGAGAATGGAGGCGACGTGTATGTAACTGACAACACGCAGGATCGATTTGCCTAAACTTTGTTTTAGATGGATGCGGCGCCAGGCATACGCAGGTGATACTGCTGTTCCTGTCGGTCCTTTTGGCGTATGGTATGCGTGTCAACATGTCCGTTGGCATAGTCGCAATGACCGATAAAAATACAAGCCCGAATCCCGACGTATTAGTAAGTTCATATTTTCGACATAGACAAGATCGCGACATCGGGTATCTTTTTAGACATTCGAATGGGACGACCAAAGCATAATACTGACGTCGTTCTTCATCGGTTACGTAATTCCTCAGGTGATTGCGGGACACCTGGCGAAGAACTTCGGGGCGAAGATCTTCATAACGGTCACGTCGATCGTTGGTTCCTTAATGGCCGTTTTGATACCGGTTGTGGCACCGTTAGGATCATGGGCTGTTATTGTTTGCAGAGTCATCCAAGGGCTCGCCCAAGGTTTTCTTTATCCCTGCATTCACAACCTACTATCAAAGTGGGTTCCACCTTTAGAAAGAGCGCGATTGGGTACCTTCGTGTACGCAGGTGAGGGTACGAACGATTTCAGAGAAAGTGATAGTCTGTTCTAAGGGGGACCACTTGGTACCGTCGTCTCCATGCCTTTCACCGGTTGGATATCGGGAACTCATTTGGGTTGGCCTTATGCCTTCTACATCTACGGTGGCGCGGGGTTATTGTGGACGGTGCTTTGGATGGTACTTGGTAAAAACAGCCCAGCGGATTACAAAGCCATGAACCCAACAGAGAAGGAGTACATCGAATTGTCTTTAGGAGCAATACCAGCTGAACGAGTACGTGTAAGCCTATTATGTAGCTTTTCAAAAAGCGTAGATCTACAGAGAACTATAAAGACCTGTCTTCTACGGGAAGTTCAAAATACACCCCTTGATAGGTCATGGAGAGGGGAATGTGGAACTTACGCCCACTGGCAGTGACAGCTTCACAACCGCATTTTTCCATTCCATGCTAGATGGAACACTAACGTTCTAATCCAGATTCTATTCCGTGTGCCAATCTTCTTGGTCTTTTTGATTGGACATTTTTTCGACTTCCAAAATCTCATTTAAAAACATCTCGTTCTGCTTCAAATATTCTGTATATTACAGGTACTTTGGAAGTCTGAAGGATCTACTTGGAATTGACTTTATATAGGTACCCCGTAGAATTCTATTAGGCTATTTTCCTAAATATCGCCTTGAATAACGTCTCATTCTCATTGAATCCTTCTTTTAGGTTTCGGAAACCTTAGAAGTTTATTTAAACCTGCTTGCTTATACAAACGTTTGAAGAATGGTTTTTAGAGACAAAGGCTATGGATATCTTAGTAATTTGTGTAAGTTTTCAGTGCAGTATTGTAGTCACTTTCCGCAAACCCCCTTAAAAATCTTGTGAGGAAACGTTTTACTTTTGTAAATCTTGAAAAAATCTGGTCTCATGATTATCTATGTCTAAGTAAACCCATACAACATTAAAGTAACAATTAGCAGTGTCTACGGGAAAGCAAATGCAGGAAAACAGAACAATATCCCTCCTTACAATTAATGGAACAGAAAGTAGAAATTAACTACGGTGCAGTCGACTTAATGTAGAGCACAGATCAAATGGTATGAATGCAAAATAAATTTACGGGAAGTATTAAAAGCTAATACTGGTACTTATAAAGGTGACTAGCAAAACACCAAAGAGAACAAGATCCCCTCTAAACAATGGCTTTACCTTTACCTGTCTGGTCATCATACAAATCGGGAACATATCCCAAAGTCTCAATTTAGTAAGCGCGCTTCTAATGAAACCACCCGCGACTTAATCGAATACTGTTTCTGCAACTCATTTACTTAGCGACACTTAAATTTACGAAATGAAATTGCTTCTAATTAACTCCCATTGTCTCTTCGAATTTTTTAAGCCGGCAAAAGGTCTAATCAAACTGATACCGCCGCAAATCTGCAGTTTTAATGCTCGTTTTAAATTAACATAGGAAGCTAAAACTATCTTATTCATAACGAAACTGAAACTCTAAAATATAAATTTAAAAAATAATCTCTACGGGAACGGCTGCAAACGGAAAATTTGTTACAGCTTTTTTTTACGGTAACGGAGACGGAAACACAAATCTAGAAATTAAATCAAGTATTTTTACCTTCCGCAAGCCACTGAAACGCCCAACTGAAAGCGCTTTTAAATACCGGGTGTTAATCTACAGAGTGATCACTAAAACTATGACATTTTCTGGGCTCTTCTTTGCATTGCGTAATTATTTTGTCATAAAGACTGATTACACTGATGGTCCGCCTTTTATTTAATTTAAATTAAGGCAATTATTAGATAAAAACGCAAAATTATTGCTCTTATTTAAAATTGATAATACATTGTAAAATATTTTCCTTATTGTTAGAGATTATTTTGTTTAAGACATTATTTTCTGTTTAAAAATTGCTTTAAATAAGTCATGAATTGATAACATTTTGTTTATGTGATGAAACAGGTGTTTTTTTAATCGGACGGGTTTAGAGAAGGTGGAAGTGGGTTCGTGATAGCGATTGTTTATGAAAGGTAGTGTAGAGCCTTTGATCTTGACGATCCATTACGTAAAACTGTGAAACTCGAAGACGTTGATTTTTGACTGAGAGTTTTTGAAATGTACGTCATCAACGGTTTGTAAACTTAGCCTTAGTCAAATTTGTTGTTATAAAATTGAAGGTCGGTCAACACCCTTTTTTGGCGCATTCCTACCAAAATAAAGAAATGCACAATTGTGCTTATTTTGTCTCGCAAATCCAATTTTTATATTTTGGGCGGATTTTTCTGAAATTGTAAGGGAAGGTGCTATATAATCCTATAAAACACGTCAAAGAATGGATTGTGTATGGGCAATACCTACTTTTCTACATTTACAGGGGTTGAAAACCCCTCTTGCATAAAATGAAATCAAATCTCTACGGCATTGGCAGAAATCTTAACATGACAATTTTTATGGTTCCCACGGCTAGATCAGTAATAAATGGCCTTGCGAAACTTTGGCCTTTTATGTCATTCCAAGATCTAAAATTCAAAATCAAACGTTCTGCTTCGACTGAACTCTATACATATTCATAAGGCTTGATTGAACATAAACACAAAAGCGGTTGAGTTCCATTTTCCTTTATATTTTTCTATATTCTCAAAATTGGGCCGGCTCATAAAAACAAAGGTAAAAATAAAAAATGAATGCAATCCCTACTTTCTGTTCCGCTAAATTTGCCTCTAAAGAATTTATCTTTAGCACATAATAATTTACAGTTACATTCTCCTGTTCGAAAATACACCTGGAATACAAAATAACAAATTATATAATCCAACCAAGGGAATGGTAATACTAAAATTAAGTGCAAATAAAAATCCAATGACTGATCCTTATCAATGAATAAAATACGATACGGTATCTTTTTATACAAATGTTTCTGATAGGTCGATTTGTTCAGGAATGTCGAAGTTACTTTAAACCAAAATTCACAAAAATTTTAAACAGCTTACGTTAGCTGACGTAGATGACATCCCTTTCGGGTTAGAATTGATCCTCTCCCCGTCGGAAAAATACCGCTCCCCTCAAGAAATAGACCGCTGCAATGGTACCGTTGATTTTTAGTACCACCGTCGTAACGCTAACTTAGATGTGAATACTAAACAAAAATTGCTATAAGTATTTCGAAACCCAACAAACCAAAACCAAGTTCGCGAAAATAATAGGCGAAAGTTTGGAATCTTTTCCATAAGGAGTTTTTAAATAATGTACAATTAATTTCTGTTTCTACGTAAAGAGCGCCTGTTCCCAATTTGAAAATGTTCCCTCGCGTAAATTTTTCACTATTCTCAAATTAATGGCTTTCAGTTTTTGTGGCGTTTTGAAGTGACGAACAGTGGGGTGCCGGTTTCACTTATTTTATTAGCCCGGAAGTACTGCGCGACCATTCAGTATTTTTTATTTTTGTGTGAGTAATCCTGACCTGACGACCAGATGGTTCACAATATTAACAGAATAGAAAAAAAATGTAACCTTTTTATTATTCATCCGTAAAAGATTGTAGTTATTTGAAAAATATATACAAAGTGTTTTAAAACACATGGCTAACCACTGCGATCCTTGTTTATTGGGTAAACTACAGAAAATGTTTTTTTTTGTAGTAATGGAGAGCGATAACGATTTTAGGCCATTCGCGGTCTCCAAGATTCTGAAATTTGGTTTTTTCGTCCAGCCTGGTATAAATTACCAAAAACAACGTATCAGCTATAAAATTATCTTACAAAAACTTAAAAATATACAGAGCGCGTCATTGAAGTTCCCAGTTTGAAGTAAAGGTGTCGTTTTGCTCATTTTTGAGATTATGAAAAAATTAAATTGCTATCTTATTCGTAAAGAAGCAGGGTTTTACCATAAAAAAACGAGCAAGAAGTTGACTACCTTTATCACATTAGTGGAATATTATCAATGGCATGGAACATGGATTGTTTCAATTCTTAATGATTAGTATAGGTACCTGTTTTTTCTCGAAAGGAAAGGTCTTAAATCTCGATACCATAGAATGCAACACCTGGACCTCGGGAAGCACTACCACTGACGTTTTTTGGATTTTTTTACGATTATCTTTTGTTATGCAATTGATTGGCCAATGAACTTTCTATTTATATCGTCTGCTATCAAACAGCTTTACGCTTTCGCAATATGAGTTATTAATAGAGCTCTAATTGGAATTTTTATTGATCGATCCGTCACTATAAACTATAATTTATCCACCGAAAAAGTCAGCTGGTGCTTTTATAATTTTTTGATAGTTCTAAATACGAATTTTCAATTTTACGACGTCAGTTTATGAATTGAAATTTTTCGTATAGATCTCCAAACAATTTCTGGACCTTCTTCGGAATAAAATATAACTCAATGTAGGTACTAGTTTCCACAGTTTGAAACACCAACGCTCTTCGCTCATTAAAATTGTACTGTAAACTCTAGAATAATAGATGAATGTTATTGGCGTTTCATGTGAAAATGCTTCCGAAACAACACTGTAACTGGAACGAGCATAATGTAATGAAATATACCTTTAGTTACCCTCAAAGACGCCGTGGGCGGCGTTTTTTAAATCTCTCCCCGTTTGGGCGCTGATATTCGCACATTCTGGACAGAGCTGGGGGTTTTCCACGCTTATCACCAATATACCAACCTACATGGCCGACATCCTACACTTTGACATTAAAAGCGTAAGTTTCACATTGGAAAATAGGCGAAGTTTATACCCCAACTTGTAGAACGGGGTCCTATCGGCGGGGCCTTATCTCCTGAACTGGATCGTCACCATTTCATCTGGCGCATTAATCGACTATGTCATATCTAAAAAGTATCTATCTGTGGGTGTCGCCAGAAAGGTCGCAAACAGCGTCGGTACGTAACCCCCTCCACCCCACTGTGCATAACGTCACGTTTTAGGCCTCTGCATCCCAGCCATTACCCTAGTGACTCTTGGTCTGATCAGCGGCCCCGATACCGATATTAGGAACGTAGCCTTAGCGTTACTTTTTGTCTCGGTCGGAGCCAATGGAAGTGTTCTCTGCGGATACCACGTGAATCACATGGATCTCTCGCCAGTCTATGCCGGAACTCTCATGGGGATCACTAACAGCGTTGCCAACTTTTGCGGAACTGTCGCTCCTCTTCTGGTTCATTTTATAGTCACCGAACCGGTAAGTTTTTAAACGTAGGTTGTCAAAGGTCACCACGTGTTTTACAGGGCAATCCCATGCAATGGGCGATTGTCTTTTACATATCTTCGGCTGTCTACGTTATCGGTAGCGTAGTCTTCGTTGTCTTCGGTTCTGGTGAGATACAAGCGTGGAATAACGGTTAATATGCATAGAATAGTATTGTGTTGGCTAAGTGTAATAAATACTGATCTGAACAATTCTGGTAGATTTTAATAAAAGCGTTAAGCAAGGTGACCGATACGACGCCTAAGTCAGTTTTTATGTGTAATTAGGAGCGCAATTGTTCATTTTCCTGAACCTTCACGGAACTGGATCTGGTTTGGAGAAAACCACTCACCTCCTGGAGATAATGCAAGGCGGTATATTTTTACGTGCCATTAATATTCGGCTGACTCTAAATTTGTCACATTGTAGCGGGTAGTTTGGTAATACCTGCTCGTAAAACTTTATGCCGACGGCTAGCCCATTCATTTTTTTCACACGGTTTCAATCTGATTTTTTCACACCCAGTAATAAGCTGCTGATTCACTTAAAATTTTTCGTTTGTTTGACGCGAACTTTCTCGTGGCTACCCGCATATTCTTCCACGTCACCCCCTGACCGACTTCTCTCCCACCACACCCACTCAGTACTACTCTATCTGTCGAATTAATTCCTTTTTACCAAACAAATAACCAGAAACTCGAATTTGTCAGATACCTCCTTAATGAAGAATTCCTACAATATGGACAGGTCCCATGCCCGATAACGACGGACCTAATTCGGCCGAACGGTCAGGTACTTCCCGTTTATTGCGCGACAATCTAGCACCTTCTCTTTTCACACGTAAATACATAGTCAGGAGTGTACTTGGAAACTATTCTCCCAAAAAAAATCAAAAACATTTAAGTGCGTTAGCGGGCCCGCGTTACATAATGCTTACATGGACTTGGATTTAGTTTCGAGAAAACCGCCTGGAGATAATGCAAGGCGGTATTTTTAATCTACGTTTAATTACTATTTAAATTTGAGTTCCCGCAAGGGACTTTGGTTTCGAAAAAACGTTCACCTTCTAGAGATAAGGCAAAGCAGTATCTTTTCCTCCCCTATGCATTTTGACCCTTGGATCTATTATGCGTGCCTCAGTGTCTTACTCGAGGTCTTACTTCAAGAGAGGTAGTCTGAGGACTTCAGCGACCCCGATGTGGTTGAGATGATATCGCAAAGGGGCAATGTCCAATGAACTGGTTTTGTCTGGAAACTGATCACTTAGTCCAGGGGAAGATTTCCACCCTTTTCTTAGCTGTCTTCTAATCAGTGCTCCAGGTTGTGACTGGAGGCGATCCGCCTTCTTGTTACCGGTTCATGGCTTGGCACCCACACTAACGTAACACGATTACGCCTGGCTATTTCTTCCAGTGTTGTGTGGCATTCCATTAGCAGCTTGAAGGTTATGGAGAAGGCTGCTCGTGTTTTGCCTGATTGCCAGATCAGATTTAAGTGCCCGCACCCAGTAGCCCTTTGGCTGCAATTACAGAGATTTAGTCCCCATTTCCTCCCCATAAGGCTTCGACAGCTCATTAAGGCCGTGGTGGCCTTGTTGACCGCCACGGTTATTTGAGGCTTCCAACTTAGCCTCTTGTACAGAATGACTGCGTTTACCAGTCGGTCCATGGGTATTGACCAGAGGAGAGGGGACATTTACACCCTCTTGCAGACAACCTCTGCTCGCGACCACAAGGACTGTCTCCGATCCCAGTCTACCTTTAATCGTCCTGCTCTTCTGCACAGATCGATATCTTTGTCTCTTGATGTTTCATCAATAGAGTCATATCAGAAGCCGTTGAATTGCCCCTCAATGTCCATGAAGCATCTACGGTCGATCCCTTGCCCAACACGCTTTCCTCAATCTTAGTGATGAGGTTGTGAAGGGCGGTCTGCGTAAGCATCCCTTTTGGAATGCATGTTGGTTGGTTTGAGGTGCTTATTTCCTAAGGAAATCTTCCTTTATGTATTGCTCCATTGTTTTAAAGATGAACGACGTTGATTTCTGGGCCCCTAAAAAGTTCTACTAGAATTGTCGTTATTGAATGGGGGGGGGGGAGGAATTCCATCTTTCTCGGTTGATTTATAAGACTTGTGGCATCCTATCGGTGGGTTCCCAGCAGGAGTTGCAAAGTCTCGCTAGGTGATCCGGTGCGTTCCCCATCTGATTCCACCATCGTTCCCAACGGCTTGTTCTTCTCTTTTGAGAAAATCTTCTGTAGACGAAAGGTTACGGTAATTTCTTCCATCACAGAATCACAGAATCTTCTTCATGGCACTCTTTTTGCCTTCCGAATCGTCTTACTATACTATACCATTGGGAGGGACGAGCGCATTATTCCACCAGGGAGTGTTTCTATTTGTTTTAACCAGCTTCAGCAGACAACTCTCATCAAAGGGGGAGAGAAGGGAATCAGGGAGCAGTGTGGCAAGTCGTTCTAGATCAAGTGGAGAGTCTTGCGATGTTGCTTTTAATCCAAGTCCAGTTCCTAATCTGTTGTACAAGTATCTCGGTATGAATGCTCGGATTGTTTCTCAATTATACTACTACAGCAGATTTGTCCGTAGTCTGATAGAGAGGGCGCTCGTCAGACACCCTCTACTCCACTATTCTACCTGCTAAAAAGGAGGAGGAGAAGTTAATATCCAGGACTCCTTTCATGTTCCTGGTTACAAATGTTGGTTCATTATATCTCTAGTTTCTCTGACAATAGAAAATCTAAAAGCTACCCACATCTGTGGGTTGTGTCTGTGCTGCCCCAGTGGAGGTGATGGGAGTTGGCGTCACAACCTATAAGAAGCTGCACCCTCTTCTTGCAGTACCTCCGGTGACGGAAGCAATGATGCCTCGTTTTCCCACGGCAAGCATGCCGAAGCACACACTATTTCGCCTTTACGCAAACCGCCGCCCTGGGGCTTTTTTCGTAAATCAAGGTCCCTGCAGAGTTAAGATAACCCTTGATAAGAGAATTGCTTACCCGTGGTTCCTGTATAAGGGTCACGTCTAAATTTTCTTTCGTTAACCTTGTGCGCTGGTGGCCGCTTTCGCTTTGTGTAAGTTTACCCGTATAAACTTGATGTCGGCCATTATGGGGCTATCTTTTTTCCCCCTTACATCTATCGAAGGACGTCTCCTTTCCTGACCCTGCCGGTTTTTTTTAACTTGAGAAGAAACCTTTCCCTTGGTTCTGGTTGAGCAGCGACCGGGACTTGCTCGATTAGTTGGAGCAGTTGAGCTTTCCCCGACTTCCATTGGAGCCACCTTGATGGGTTCTGCTTTGAGTGTTTCATCAGAGACTTCTTTGGGCTTTGAGGGCCCAGGCTCCTCTGGTCTAATTGGTTTTTTCTCCGGCCACGTTGCAGTGGATTTTTTACCAGCCTTCATGCCTGCATTTTAGTTGTCTAACCATTTTAAAATTTGGTCGGTCTACTCTCCTACCCTTCCCTGAAGGTGAGTCATGAACAAGTGAGGTTTTAGGGTATCCTTTACCTCCCGAAGTTGAAGTTGAGCTCCATCTCACGGTTTGGCGGTTACGACGTGGTTGTTCAACCACCGGATCGTCTCCACGTCCATACAGGAGAGCATTTGTCAACCTTGGATGTTGGGTTTAAATAATCCCAACTGATAAACGGGGATGGTATCCAAATTAGGGTCTGTTGACAAGATCCCTACTTTGATGCCCTGTTATCGGGCATTATCTGCGCTCACACTTGAGGACAGAACTGTGCTGTCCCTTTTCCTGCTCTTCTTTTGAACTTGCCGGCCCTCCTGAGGCTTTTGTTGGGTCTTGTTTGATTTTTTAACCATAACCCTAGCCTCATTTGGGTTGTGCCCAGCAGCGATTAGTTTTCTGAGAAGTTTGCGAACTGCTCCACAAAGCTTTATTTGTGGGGTGGGATTTAACTGCATGTCCTCCGCCGCTTTGTTTAATTCACTTGTATCCGAAGCTTCATAAGCCTCAAGTTTTCCTTCAGAAGGAGGTACTGGTGTCTTCGTCAGAAGCCAATAATGCCCTCACGATGTCGGACAACCGTGATCAGTGGTGGTTATAGTAGTAGCGGAACATCCGTTACAGTCGGTTTTTGTATTGCCGAACATATAGGTCCCACGAGTATTGGACTTTGGAGATTGCTCCTACCAGAAGAAGGATAATTCAAACTGGAGACGGGGGGGGGGGGGGCCAGCACCCGCTGACCAACGAGCAAACTCTGCCTTGGCCATGCAGTCCTGGGCCCCAGATGGTCCACCTTGATTTGGATTTGGTTTGCCTTACTGTCATTCGAAAATTTCAGAGTTCCATTAGGAGTGCCGAGATTGTTACCAGAGGGCACCACTGGAATGTTAACGAGACAGGATAAACACTGAAGAGAGTGGTGATCGGGACCGATGCTGCCCAACCTGTTTCTTTAGGTTACTGAAACCACCCGGCCTGCTTCTTTCAGAACCTACGCCGTTTCCCCCTAACCGTTACGCCCTGACCTCCCTGACGTTGCATTTGTCTTCCGATGTTGTTTCCGCCGAACCAGTTTACCAGGAAAAGGGAGAATAACCTCCCCACATAATGAAGCCGTCGATAACGACGATGTTCGATATGCTGGGGATATGACTAGTGGTGGACTACCTCTTTATGCCGTATGACAACACAAGGTGCAAAGAATCCAGAAGACAGAAAACCTTAACGTATGATTTTTGCTCAAAGTAGGCGAAGAGTTATGGTTAGAGTAAGCCTTCATGGGCAAGGTACACCAGTAAATGACCAGAACAGACCTGACATCCAAAATTGACACATTCTGTACAACTTTCTCAGCAGATGACCCACTTCTAAAGTAGGTAACCCCAATCCATAAACAAAGATACTTGAGATACTCTTTCTGATTAAAACTACTTCAACAACTTTAATTAGTATCATCATAGTATACCAAAAAAATATGACCGAGTGTAACATCCAAAAAAGACCACCACGTAAGTGCAACCAGCCTTCAACCTTCTCACCTATCTCTTTTAGATTGGTACGGCGTCAGGCATACCCAGATCATCCTACTATCATTTTTGGTCGCAATTTCTTACGGATTTAGCGTCACCCTGTCGGTGGGGGTGGTCGCAATGACCGATCCCGAAACGTGCCCAAATCCCGACGTTCCCGTAAGTTATATTGCGAGTTTAAGTGTCGGCTGAACGTTGATTTTAGACGTACGAGTGGAACGACCAAAGCGTAATTCTGTCGTCGTTCTACGTCGGTTACGTCATTCCGCAAGTGGCCGCCGGGCAGTTGGCGAAGAGCTACGGACCTAAGTGGTTTTTGGTGGTGACGTTCGCGCTCGGTTCCCTGTTGAGCATTTTAACGCCGATAGCCGCTTCGTTCGGCTCGTGGACGATTATTTCGTGTAGGGTGCTGTTGGGGCTTACGCAAGGTTTCGTTTACCCTTCCGCCCATAATCTGCTGTCCAAGTGGGTGCCACCGCAAGAGCGAGCGCGTTTGGGTACCTTGGTCTACGCAGGTAGGTTGATTGGCGTTGACGGATTTTGGTATGGTTTCTGGTGTTTAGGAGGACCGCTTGGTACTGTAGTTGCCATGGCGGTTACAGGGTTGCTGTCAGAAACGTGGTTGGGTTGGCCCTCCGCCTTTTATTTCTATGGTTTGGTTGGGATGATATGGACGGGTGTTTATATAGTTTTTGGGAGCAACACGCCAAATGACCACGGTAGTATAGACCTAGAAGAAAAGCTTTACATTTCGCAAGGTTTGGGGTTCGCTCAGGACAGTTGCGTAAGTATAGGTATATTAATCCTCGGCCATGAGTTTTTATTGTAATGTTAGTCAAGTGGAACACCATGGAGGGCGATTCTCACTTCGCGGCCTGTTTGGGCCGTTATACTAGCCCAATCTGCACACGCTTGGGTTTTCACTGCACTTTTTACTACCGTACCGACCTATATGGGAGGGGTTTTAGAAATTGATATCAAAAACGTAAGTGACTCACTTTTCAAAAACTTGTCACTGAATACTTTACAGATTGGAATGCTGGCTGGTGTACCTTACTTGGTACTGTGGATGATGAGCTTTGTGTTTAGTTCCCTAACCGATTGCGCTATTACGCTTAAACACTTAAAGGTAGGGTTGGCGAGGAAAACTGCAACCACCATCGGTTTCGCCATACCAGCGGCTGCGCTATTTGGACTTGGTTTAATTAACAGTTTCGAATTTGACGACTGGGAGCTAACTGTCGTCCTTCTGGTGATTGCGATTGGCATCAACGCCAGCGCTTACTGCGGATATCACGTGAATCACATGGATCTATCCCCAAACCACGCGGGAACGCTAATGGGAATCGCAAATAGTGCCTCAAACTTTTTCGCCGTTTTTGCTCCACTACTACAACAATTCATTGTAACCGACCATGTAAGGGTAGACCCTAAGGTAACGATTGTTAGTTTATTATTCCATTCGTAGCGTAATCCTCATCAGTGGGCCATCGTGTTCTACACGTCTTCAGGTGTCTACATCGTCGGCAATCTCGTTTATGTACTTTTTGGTTCGGGTGAGGCACAAACTTGGGACGAACTCAGTAGTTGTAAGGTTATATAATTAAGTGTGGAGAATAGAATAGTCACTAGGATTTGATAATAAACTCTTAATTTTATTGAATTCTGAGTTTACTTAGTACACAAGTACAAATAGAAGATTTCGTCAAGATCTTGACCGCCAAGGATGTACGAGACCTCTTAAAATTATACATCCTTCTCTCTCTCGTCAGCAACTTTTGCCATTTTGTTGAGCAATAGTTTCGGTTATACTTAAAGGCTCCTTTCTGCATACTTCAGTGGTTCCTTCGCTTTAGCCCTTTCCACTGGTGATCTAGCCTGATTGACAGTTGGTGGAAGATATGAAGGCCCGAACGTAACCCGGCACGTAAAATCCCATGGCACGAGCAATAAACAATCAGGGCGTCTACGATCAGTTCTGGAAGAACCAGGTAGTTCTCGGATGCAAGCGCGAAGCGATGGTGTTACTAAAAAACTCATGAGCGATTGTTCTTAAACCTTAAACGGAAAAATAATGTTAGCATACGTGCTCACCGACAGTCTAACTTAGACTGCCTTAAAAATTCCCGCGTCACGGTCTCACTAACGCTTTATCTCGAAAATGCACGCGTTGTTATCGCTTTTATTTCCAGACATACTTTCGTTCACGTTCGCTATGAAGCGGTATATGTGTAAATTTTTCTATGCTGAACAAAATACAAATTCAAACTTAAATAATTTATGAAACGGCTAAGCGGCCACCTCTTACACCATGCAGGATGAACGCACCTTATTTCCTTGGGAGGGGGGGGGGGGGACTTCGAAACCAATCATTCGATGGTATTCTTGAATATCTGGGGGCATAACTTCTCCATGACGTGGACGTGGTTCACCTTAAAACGGCGAATGTCATATTCTTGAAAACATTACTTGGAAAGTGAGCGTTCCTGGCGCGAGTTCCCTGCCTTTTGCGCAAGAGAAAACGAACCCCCGTCAGGGTTGTTCCATTAATTTTGCCGATCGCTAGTATCCCGGGAACGTCGCCGGGAACCAAAAATACGGGCCCTGATGTTGATAGCCGGTGAGAACCTCGTACATCACTATATGAAAGCATTGCTTGAACCTTATTCCTAAGGTTCCCCCTAATATTCTGAGGTGCACCTTTTTTTTGTAATAGATAAAAGATAACTGTTCGGCCTAATCTTCCGTATGTAGTTTGAATAAGTTCTTCAAATCTGTAACGCTTTTGGGCTTGTTTGGCATTGGAATTACTCGGTATGAGAACATTACCAGTTATCATCAGAAGGCGATACCACTTGTTTGTCCAATAGAGAAATTAATGCTACACTCACAACCATATTCTCATCAGTAGATGTTCCTCGACGGATCCGTATTTAGCAGTTAACAGGATGCCCATGATCAGATTTGGAAAAACGATCTCATGCAATGATTTTATACAAATAATTTTCAAGGGTCGATTCCTTTAGGAATATTAAAATTGCTTCAAACCAAATTACTTATACAAATTCCTAAAAATAACCGATCACTACTGTATACAAATCAAAAAATTTAAGGTAACTTACAGTAATAAACTAACGTGGGTAATATTATCTTCTGGTACCAGTAAATCTTATCATTCCTTGGCAAATGCCGCTTTCTTTTAGAAATATGGAAACAGGTCACTTCGATGATACATTTGACTTCGTGATTAATGCAAAATGTCCATAGGCATTGCGAATCTAAGCCAACCTGCTTCAGTTTTGCAAAAATGATTATGCACAGGAAGAAAGTGCCAATGTTCCGCCTTGTGGATATTAATTTTGCTCACTAGGTTTTGTTGCTGGCAAATGCGCCGATTAGCTTCCTTTAAATTCCTTGCCGTATGCCGTTGTATACAAAATTTCATTAATCGCTCAATCCTCAAAATTGAGAAGGTTGCTTTTAACCAGTCGTTACCGTTAGCGATCTGAAACAAAAAACTTCTTTGTTTACCACAATGAGTTTTTAATCCCGTTTTAATTTTAAAAGCGAAAATGTTCCTTCGCGTAAATTTTACCACTCGTAAACAGATAGCCTTGCTACGTATCAGGATGCATAGTTTTTCCTTGTCCCTGTAATTCGTCTATTCGCCCAAGTATAAAACTGCAAGGGTAACCCGCACTTTGTCACAAATCCGAGTTTGATGTTTATCCACTGGATGCACTCGAAATTTAGGAGCTCTCATCAATTAATGTGTTTTTTACCCACAGTTAAACTGCTAAAATTCTCTACTACCACTCGGATAGGTTTGCCTGATGCACGTTCCGGTTCCCGAATTTCAAACGCAAATCTTATATCCAACTTAGAATACTCGCTCTCCCACATCTGAACGCAATAACCTCGACTGGCGTGCCCTAACAACCAATAGAAAATCCGCATTTCGGCTTTTTTAACTCGCTCAAATAGAATAAATGCAATTTATAGGTCCAAAGAGATTGTTGCAACCGCGCTAGCGTTCCCTAATATGTTTCTTGTTATCACTTGTTATCGCCAGACTTACTTTAGTTCAAGTTTACTATGAGGCGGTACATGTGAAAATTTTCATGTTTAACAAAATACAAATTCCAAACCAAATTTTTGAAACGGCTAAGTGACCAGCTGTTACAAATGTCGCTTGACGTGGTTGGAATAACTTGGAATTCATTGAGGTTGAGATGTCCATGAACCTAGCAGAGCAAGGTCAGCAGAACACAATCAAACATATTGCGTAATTAGGTGCTAATAAAGAGCCCTATTCCCGAATGAAATGCTTCTTTTTTTTTAAATTATTACATGTTTTGGCAGGTTCATATGAACTCAGAAAAACACTACCTTAAAAACCCAAGAAAATGAAAAGTTAACGAACTATAATTAGGTGCTAATTAAGTGCCCTATCCCCGAATTAAATGCTCCTTTTTTTTAAATTATTACATGTTCTGCCAGGTTCATAATTAAAAAAAAAGGAACATTTAATTCGGGAATAGGACTCTTAATTAGCACCTAATTATAATTCGTTAACTTTTCATTTTCTTGGGTTTTTAAGGTAGTGCTCTGCAGAGTTCATATAAACCTGGCAGAACATATTGTAATAATTTAAGAAAAAAGGAGCATTTAATTCGGGGATAGGGCACTTAATTAGCACCTAATTATCGTTAGTTCACTTTACATTTTCTTGGTTTTTTGAGGTAGTGCTCTGCTGAGTTCATGTGAACCTGGCAGAACATGTAATAATTTAAAAAAAAGGAATATTTAATTCGGGGATAGGGCACTTAATTAGCACCTAATTATAGTTAGTTCACTTTTCATTTTATTGGTATTTTGAGGTAGTGTTCTGCTGAGTTCATATGAATCTGGTTGAACATGTAATAATTTAAAAAAAAGGAGCATTTAATTCGGGAATGGGGCACTTAATTAGCACCTAATTATGCAATATGTTTGATTGTGTTCTGCTGACCTTGCTCTGCTAGGTTAATGGACATGAGGTTGAGACTTCATAAAAAACAAATCTCGCTTCTTCCATCATGACAAAAGTGGCCTCTCCGGTTAGTATATAGTGAGAAACCTGTTTGTTGACTGGCAATAAAGTTCAAAAGTGCAAAACAATATGTAACGGGTGCACCTTAATGGGGTTAATTTTTTTAGAACTTTTGTAGAGTAGCTTATGTTGAGGGATTAAGTATTGGTAGATATGAGTGTATGTACAAGGTGGTTCTAGCTGGTAATCCAAAATTTTGATATTTTAAACTTTTTAAGTCGATATTTTCCAAAAAAGCGCTTTTTATTCCATTAAGTTAGGTGAACCAGTCTGGCGCTCGATAAGCTCAGGTTCATGAAAAGTAAGTGCAGTACAGCTGAATCACATCCGGTCGCTGATAAGGAAGGTGTAGGGGGGATTAGTTGATTGTAAGACAGAGAAAACTAATTAGTTGGATTTGAGTCGTCTAAGAGAGCCCATTGCAGGCAGCAAATATTAATTACGAGTAGGTATACCATACGGCAAGTAAGCTCAAGTACTAAGAGAGAAGTTCATTTTGGGCCGTCAGAGAGCTCAAATTAGAGGGAAGCCATTTTTTAAGCTCGCAGGATGGTGACAACGAAAATAATACGGTGGAGACTCCATTAGGTTCCAAGAAAATAAAGCATTTGGAACCCGTAACCATTTCTATTCAAAGGAGAACTTTTGGTTTTCCAGGAGGCGCTATAACAAAAGGTGAAATACGAAATAAATTCGTTGGATACTATATTTAAAGGTTAGTCGATTGGTCATTTGCATTGCGCAACTTAGAGCAATATTTGTTTCCATTCCACGAATCTTAAGTAACTGGCGATCTAGTTTGCCAAGGTTAAACTGCTCGAGGGGTAGATTTAGACGCCGTATAAATAAGGTAAAATGTAAATTTTTGTATTTGACTGCGTTCTTCTAAACATTCTAAAGGTTAAGTCGTTTTTTTAAACAGATCATTTTGAATTTTCAGTGTGGAACCAAGTAAGTCCATTTTACTAAGGAGATTGTATCAAGGTATTTTAGTAAACTTGAGCTAGCCGTCGATACATTTTGGGCAAAAATCTAGCATTATCGCAAACATTCAAAATTTAATAAAACGATCAGGGATTTCCCAACCCTGTTATAAATAGGAACAGGCCAGGAACAGGAACGGGAACCGGAGTTTTCAAATTGTTTTTGACTTGGAAGGCAAACACAGTATCGGGCATGTCTTGATCTTCGCGATTCGTGAGTTCTTTAGCTCGACAATCTTCGACAACTACACAAGAAAAAGAAAAAGTTTCATTTTATAGGGAAGAATGCTAGGGACTATAAATACTTCCCTCCTAAATATTACCTAAAAAATTCACTCCCGAAAAATGTACCCCTAAAGGCTTGTCGCCAGAATTATTCGGCCCTCATAAAAAACAGAGACACCAATTTTTCTCAGCAGGAATATTTTCTTTCCCACGGAAAACTTACATCCACTAAAACTTGACTCCTAGGGAAAAATTACTCTTTCTGTAACAGGTCATGACTCAAGACTGAATATTAATGCGGATGAAATAGAAAAAAAACCTAGTACGGCGAATGAATTGGAAGAAGTGACGAGAGTGCTGTGTGGTAAAAGGATCAGAAAAGAGATTAAGGGAAGGGTGTTTAAATCTGTTGTGCAGCCAGCCATGATTTATGGCAGTGATACTGGTCGATAAAAAAAGTCTACGAAGAGAGATTGTGGGTGGGCAAGCTGGACGAGGGGAAAAACTAGGAGAGATGGACTTAACTCTCAAGGAAGATTCAAGAGCAAAGACGCAATGGGGAAGTTGGAATGACTGTGTCTTGGAAAACTTAAGAAAGAAGGGGTTGAATGTGTGATACAGGAGTGAGTGCAGAAGAAGAAGAATTAGGATAATTTGAAGAAACAAGAAAATTGGGAGGATGCCCAAATTTCGAAGATCACAACAATCTAAAGGTTGAAAGGAACCCTGTGGAGGAATCCGAGGGCCAACAGGAATTGAAGAAACAAAAAAAATGATCTAATTGCTAAAAATTAAAGAAAATGGCGGATATGAGGTTGAAGTATGGAGGAAAACCGATTAAATGGAGGATTTGGAATAAGCCGACCACGATAGTTAGTATGTCGTAAGCCGACCAAAGTGAAGTTTGATGAATCGGAAAATTTCGAACCTTCTTTATCCCATAAGCCACAATGTCAACTTGTAACCCTTAGACAGTTTTTTTGAAGGCGAATTAGGGCCGATATTCCATGTTTCAATTAAAGATGTGAATACATTTGCTTTAATAAGAATTAGGTCATAAATGTCTAAGGAAATCTTAGTTAAAATATCAATATAGGCACTCATTTTGGACTGATCCACATGTTTGGGCCTATATCCCAACGTGCCTTATACCCACCACTGAGTTAAATTAATCGCCTGGGTCTAACTGAACTTACGTGTTCAAGGCGATAATAAATAAATTATATAGCTAGCACACAGTCACTTGGGTAATTTTTTCTCTTCTTCATTCCAGGGTTGAATTTCACCAGAGGCGAAGATGAGGTAGAAGGTGTTTCCAATAATGTAAGCGGCCGACGACGTATAGAAGACCGTCGCCCACTGTTTGACGTCGCTTTGGTCCGTTACCAGGAATTGAACCAACAGGGGTCCGATGATCGCGGAGATATTTCCTAGGCCCGTCGTGAGTCCCATTAGCGTGCCCGCGTGGTTAGGCGCTATATCGATGTGGTTGACGTTGTATCCGCTCAGAAATGCTGCCGAGATTCCAACGGCGAGAAACAGAATGAAGAGGGTTATTGTGGCATTTCCTAGGCTGAAGGTGCTCATCAGTGCCAGAATTAGAAGGCAAGCGCCAGGTACGTACATCCCTAGGAATGGAATTTAAGTTTCCCCTTCCACTTTTTATATTTACCAAAGCTATTGACGAGTTTTCTCGTGGCGCCGGTTGACAGTATACGACGCGTGATTATAAAATCCGACCCAATTCCGAATACGAAGCTCAGCAGCCAGAAGATTAGGTATGGGGCCGCAGACAGAAGGCCGTTCTGTAAGTGTTGCCGTGTGAATGTGGGGGTGACGAACCTGTGTCTTACCTCAGCTATATCGTAATCCATGACATGAGCAAGATAAGTAGGTATGTTTGTTAGTAACGTGGCGAAACCCCAGACTTGACCCCAAGTGCTCACGAGGATAGCCCATACTGGCAATGACACCACGATCGACCTCCACGGAGTTGCCATTTGCTACAAGGAAAGTTGAAATGATTAAAGAAAACACCCACACACTTACAACACACTGAGAAGTGCCAATTGATTGTTCAATGTATTTTAACTCCACAGGATCGATACCCTTGTGATCCGCCGGGCAATTTTTCCCCAAGGTCACCCACGCAACCGTCCACACGAAAGCAACCAGTCCATGGGCATAGAAACTGGATGGCCACCCCATCCACGTACTGGACAACCACCCAGTAACCGGCATTGAGATTACCATTCCCAACGGCCCTCCTGCAAAGGCAAAGTTAGTAGTCCACGCGGTAAACTCCTGAGAAATACCAGCGTAAACAAAAGTGCTCAACCGAGACTTTTCCGAAGTAGGCGCCCATTTGGATAACATCGCATGACAGCACGGTACAGCGATCCCATCCGCGAAACCTTGCACCACCCGGCACAGCATCACGGCCCAGGAACCGAACTGCGCCAACGTAGGTATCAGGCACGTAAACACCACGCAAACCGCCGACGCCCCCGTGATCAGCCACTTAGGCCCGTATCTCTGCCCCAGTTGACCGGCGATCACTTGGGGAACAACGTAACCCCAATAGTATGCGGACAACATCACGCTCTTATCCGTCCATGTGTACGTCTGAAAAACCCCCATCACGGATACCGCGTTACGTGGATACCTACCGGAATTTCGGTGTTCTCGGTGATATTCAAGGTCGTCATCGCGACTATCGCCACCGAAAGGTGCACCCGAATTGCAAACACCCTGGCGAGCAGCACGAACAAAAGGAGAACCTGGGTGTGCCTCGCTCCGTACCAAGACACTAAAAAGTATACGTCAGACAATTAACCACAGCAGTCACTCACCTAAATTCATTTTCTTCCATAACATATTGAGAGCTACTTGTTGCAAATGAAGCTGAGTTTAAAATGCGTGCAAGTTGTTCAGAATATAATAGTATCTCTAATCAACTTGTTGAGATATGGATCGAGTAGAATATTTGCAATAAAGCAGGTTAAGTACGACCTACTGACATGGTTCCGTTTATAAATTGGCAACTACTGGAGGGAGATTTGCATGCTTGACTGGCATGTCTTTTCAAAATCTCTTGAATGCCCTTTCTGCTATCGTTCTCGGTCACTTTCTGACGGTGTCTTGTTTTCAGATTTCAGATTTGCTTTTTAGAACGGCGAAAAATTTAGGTCATTGGACTGTAAAATTCAGGCTCACGGCTCTTTCTCCAAATTTGAACAGCATTGGAGTATGTTAGCGGCTTTTCTCTAAAAATTGAGGTAACTTTCAAAAATACAGAGCTGCGTATCAAACCTCTACAATTTTGTATTTCTGCTTCAAAGGGATGCAATTCACTAATTTTTTGGTTAGGGATTAAATCATCTTCGCATCGACAGTGAACTGCAAATTCTGAGAACTCCAAGTTCGAATTTTATTGGAACTTAGAGCTTATTCCTCAAAACCAAATTCAAAATTTTAATGTAGGCCTTTATTTGGGTGTATAATTGAGTACGGTTTCTAACGGGTGGCCGCTTTGCAGTTTTAAGAATTATTTTTTGTGATCACGATTTCATATAGGCACATTTTCGCATATACCGCTCCATAGTAAACTTGAACGAAAGTATGTCTGGAGATAAGAGCGACAACTACATGCATTTTGAATAAAGCGCAGGCTGTGAGTAGTAGTGGGTAGTCTTTAATTCGTCCAAAAAAGGCGAGCATACCGTTTCCAGTGTTCTGGAGAACAACTGTGCATAGTTCTGTAATTCGCGGGGAATATTTTGAGATCTGATTTATAGCAGGGCCGATTGTTTTTGTGTTATTAGTCGCAAAGTCAATTTCTAAGGCACAAGAAACTGCAGTGGTCGAGATGTTCATTCCATGAGTTTGAATACACAACAATGGTCATGGTATACCATGGCGAATCCCCTCAGAATCACCGAGGGCGCCTCCTGCGTCATTAGCTTCTGGGCGGTCAGTAATCCGAACGGTGTTGGTTCCAGCCAGGGCTTCTATGGTGTGGGGTCTCGTCCATTTGGAGGGGAAGCTCCCGGTTGTTCGGTCACGGTTCATCACCATTACCCGCGCCCCTACTGGATACTGAGTGACCGCGGGACCGTAGTTGGCTTAACGTCTCTTGTAACGGTGTTGGTTTAGATGTACCTGTCGCATGACTTCCTGGCGGTCATCGCCCGTGGGTTGAGGTGGATTCTCGTTCGCCACTCTCCCGGTCTAGTCAGCTCGTAGCTTAAGAGGGGAGGTTTTCCGTGCGCAGCCCTCTTTTCACCTTTTGATTCTTTCGTTCTATTGGGTTGGCTTGGGGGTGCCAAATAGACATGGTCCAGTGCATACAACCCCATTTGCGTCCCACGTAACGGAGGTAAATTGCGTGCCGTTGCGTTGGTGACGCCCGAGTTCGAGCTTGTCGCAACGGAAAGGCTTCCACCCACATGCTGAACAAATCCGTTTTGACCAAGATCTGGGGGAAACCGGTACGTGGATGTGGTGGTGTACGGTCCTTTTAGACCAACCGACACGGACTCCCAGGGAAGCGCGGGTTGCCTAGATCGGAAGGTCCTGGGCCCCTCTTTACAACGGTGCAGATCCAGAAACTGCGAATGTAGTTGCGAGCCCTACCTTCCAACTTAGAGAAGTAATCAGTTTGAGAGATGGCCCTGACGGTTTCATCGATTCCTGGGTGCCCGACGGTGGGAGCGTCGTGGTAGGCGTACAAGACTTTCCCTGGGGAAACCGATCAGCCGGCCACGAGCACTGTGTTTGTAGAGGTGCCCCTCGTGGATGGCGCACTCCCGCAGGATCTCCTGTTGGCGGGGTCTTCGTTGCGGAGTCGCCCCTGTTAAGCGTCGAGGTTGGTCTTCTGGTTATCCCAGACGTGTTCGACGAGTGTGGCCATTTCGACTTGATTGATGATGGGGCGTAAGTCGGGTGACGGTAGCGTCAGTAGTTCTTCGTCTACGTCGTTGGCGATGGTAGTGTCGTTGGAATATCGGGAAAGGTGATCTGATAGTTGTGCTTAGCGGAACAGTGTTGGAGGTCGTAACTTAACTCCTGGAGGAGGAGGGCCCAGCGGGTGCGTTCACTGCGGTCGTCTTTGGTTCGTGGTTCTACCCAGCCAGAAAAGCGCTTGACTGTCCGTACGTGGCGTGAATCGTCGGTCTTCCAGGAGCTGAGGAACTGCTGGTGGGTTGTGGTCCTAGACGCACTGCAGAGGACTTCCACTTGTTCTGGGAGGGGCCGGTTGGGATCTGCCGTGATAAAGACGTGGCCCAGATACGTCATGGATGTACCCCAAAACGGCACTTGTCTTGTGCGAAGTGCAGGTGGTGTTGTTGGAGCCGCTCCATCACTATCCTCTGGTGGTTGAAGTGTTTTTTCTAGGATCCCCGGCAGTACCTCCTGCGTCATTAACTTCCGAAAGGTGGATGCCCCATTCTTTAATCCAAACGGCATCACCCGAACCTGGTAGCAGGTGCCGTCGCGAGTCGAAAAGGCGGCGAGACTAAGGTGCGAGAGGGCCAGTATCCAATTTTGAGGTCCAGCGTGGATAACACCATCGCTATCCTCAGTTCTCTAAGTGTCTCATGGATAAATGGTAGGGAGCAGCAATTCAACATGTCGTAGTCCACGCAGAAACGAACATTACAGCCCGTCTTTTAGGCAATGAAGATTGGGGACGGGTAGATGGAGGTTCTGCGTTTAATAATGCGGTAGGCCAGCATTGTTTCGACCTCCTGGGCAATGATCGCCTTCTTGGCCAGTGAGTCCCACCAAAGCCGCAAGCGGAAACGCGTAGTACTGTGTATTCGAATTTTGTGCATGGTAAAGGCGATGGTGAAGCTCTTCGATCTTTGGCGTGTATTTCTCGGCTCGGAGCGGGCTCAGGGAGTGATGTGACGACGTTTTTTTGCACCAGTAGACACATCGGCGACCGTGATCTACAGAAAGGTTCCCTGTTACTTGGTCCCCTCTATTACGAATTGAAGTTCGGTGCTGCTAAGGACGTCGAGGGCGACCCCCCAAAGTTTCGTGGCTATATTTGACAGCCCTAGTTACGGTGGCTCCTGTATTTGGTGGTATACGACCGGAGAGAGTGCGGTATCCTGGCGTTTCCCTGGCGTGATGCTTGGCCCACGGAGCAGACTCCGATGGAAGCGACGCTGGGGACGGTAATGGCAGAAGCTTGTCTCTTGGGAGGGTTGGCGCCGGAAGGCCGAGTGTCTGCTCCGATTACCTCCAAAAACTGCAGCATCTCGATCACTTTGTGGAGAACATAAACGGTTGCATCCTGGGATGCAGTAGGCCCGCGAACACTGTTATGTGCTCGTCTATTTCGATGCGCAACCGTGTAGCGAGCTGGGCCTTCCGCTGAAGAAAAGAAGGCCGGGTTCGTTGTTTTGGTCGCGGTTATAGAACTCGGTATTCAGCCTGGACTTAATCGTTGGACTACCCTAATTCTCCGTGACCTACTATCGCACTTCGGGATGCGTCATGTGGAGATATGTGTGCGGCTTTCACCAGCAGGCGAGCGTTGGGCTACGCTGGAAACGGCTCGCTGTAGACGAGCCGCGTTGACCAATAGCAGGGTCGCTCAGTCGACAAACTCATCCGTAACACCTAGAAGATTCTATAAGCGGTCCGTGCAGAAAGAAACTCCGGAGCCAATTTCACTTCTACATAGAAACAGTCATCGAGAAGTCTACAGTCGGTCAACAGCTGGAGGGTCAATTTTATTCGAATTGAAAGGCGTGGCCAGAACGCATCTAAAACTCCTGATGTACAGACATGGATTAATATCTGGTCGTTTAGTTCTGGTAAAGGTATCGGAAACAGTTTTTGGTGAAATCCTGGTTTTGGGAGAAGCACGAACCAGTGCGGAATTAGGAAGGGCTTTAAGTTCAAGGTATGGGGACGACAGCAGGCGACATTTAACGGAGGACACTTATTACCAATAAAATTTTTACGTAACCGATTTCAATTTTTCTTTGATTAATATTGCTTAGAGGGACAAGCAACATTGTATTCATTAACATAAAGTATATTTTAAATAAAATCTCTTGTTTATAGGTACCTACCTATATTCTGCAATAGGAATCTCTTTCGTGGAGTATCAAAATTTAACCTCTACCTACCTTGAAATTAGGAGTAGTTGAGAGTACAGATCCTCTGCTCGAATTTTTTAATCATGGGAGCAACAAACTGAGAAAAAAGTAGAAGTTGGCGAAAAAATGAAAACTGTCAGCGAGCCCAAATTCAAGAAGACCTTGGGTTAATTTAATTCCGGAAAATCCACAGAATTCACTGATACGATACTGATACACTAACCATTTTCGGTGTTTAGCTTTGAATTCGCTTAGCCTTTCAAGCGCTTTAATAACAATCCGTATGACGGAAGCAGAAAACCAGGTTGAATGCAGTTGAGATAAATAAAAAAGTTCATTGCCCGATGATTTTTGCTTTGCCTGTCAAGTTTTCATTTAGTTTTAACTGAAAATGTATACAAGTTTACAAAAATTGTGTGGGGCAGTTTAACTACTAATCTGTATATAATAAAATTAATATATCATAATTAAAAAAAATATTTTTCAAATAGGCTCAAGCCTAACTTGTTCGGGTGCACTTCTTGCCTGGTGTTTTTGACTACTTGAATTGGTGTCAGTGCCGTTCCATGTTTGAGTTTCACCCGAAGAAAAAATAACATAAAAGGTCGTGCAGGTTACGCATATGGCCGATGCAATATAGAATAACACGCCCCATTGTGCGGGATCGGTAGCTTCCACGACGATTAAGTGCACAATTAACGGTGCGACCACGGAGAGAATATTTGCGGTACCATTCGTAAGCCCAATCAGCGTGCTCGCGTGTATGGGTGACAAGTCTATGTGGTTTACTTGAAGTCCACTTAGGAAACCGGATGCAATTCCAACAGAAACAAAGAGGATGACCAACGTTATGGCGGTGACGTCGAAATTAAGGCCGCTTATTAACCCCATAGCAAAAAGGCCGATTCCTGGAGTGTAGAGAGCTGAAAATTCTGAATCAATATCAAAGGCTGTAGGGGTGGAGAACTTACCAACTCCCGTCGCAATCTTCCGTGCCGTACTAGTAGACACAATTCCACGTGTAATGATAAAGTCGATGAGGTAACCCCAACCGAAGCTACAAATCCAGAAAACTAGAAATGGACCAGCGGATATTAACCCATTCTGAAAGTAACGATTTAGTTCAACTTCGTACTTGATTGGCTGTTACCTCCTCAATTTCGAAATGCAAGACATTTGCCATGAACGTCGGGATGTTAGTCATCAAGGTTGTCAATACCCAAACCTCTCCACAACTACCCACCAGTATCGCCCAGACTGGTAGTGACGTGAAGATCGACCTCCATGGAGTGGAGGTAACGCGTATTTTATCTCCAGCGTCTATTGAGGTTTCGATGTATATGCGTTCTTCACGACTAATTCCTTGATGCTCAGCAGGGCTTCCTCTGCCAACAAAAATCCAGAGTATGGACCAGATTAATCCAACCAAACCGTGCGCATAAAAGCTAAGCGGCCAACCCAGCCAACAACCGCACATCCACCCACTCAGAGCCAACGACAGCACCATCCCCAACGGTCCACCTGCAAGACTACTCTATAATTCTCTGAAATAGCGACCCCCACCTCAGTTACCAGCGTAAACAAATGCAGTTAGTCGAGCCCTTTCGAATTTTGGCACCCATTGCGCCAGCATACTATGACAACACGGACATAAAAATCCGTGGCAAATTCCCTGAACCACTCTGGAGACCACCACCGTCCAAGGGCCAAAAGCGGCTAAAAACGGAATAATAATTGCGCACAGGGAACCGCCGAATGCCGACAGCAACAGAAACCATTTCGCACCGAATCGCCCCACCAAGTGACCGGCGATTAATTGCGGCGGCACGTAACCCCAATAGTACGAGGACAACACCACGCTATGATCGGTCCAGCTCCAGTTGTAGGTCTGTGGAAGCGCGCTAATTATGCGTTAACGTCCGCCGTTATTTACCGATACGTCGGGGTTTGCGCTGGAGTTGGCCGTTGTCATCGCGACGATGGCGACGGAGAGATGGATCCGAGTTCCAAACTCGATGGCGCTGATAAGAAAGAGAAGGAGTATCTGCGTGTGTCTCGTCCCGTACCATTTCCCTGCGAAAATTTTTGAGTGTTAATTTAGGTCACGTGTTAGTGTTGCTACTCACGCAACGTGGGCGGGTCTTTCGCTACGGTGTCCAAAGCGTAAGATTCTTCTGTGGTCATTTAAGTTGAACGTGAGGCAACACACTGCTAGCAGTCGCATCAAATCAGAGAGAGATAACGCGTTGACCTTTGTGATTATTACGCTTGACATTTTCTCTGTTATTAAGCACATGTGTGTCATTACGCCATACGGGTCTCGCTTCTAACACTGACAGGCCAGTGCATCCCATCCCGGCGACATTACTATCCAGGCATCGGTCATCCCGGCGCTTTAAACCGGGCGACGATTTATCTCGAAACTATTGCTTTCCCGGCATCGGTTATCTCGGCAATGGACACTTTCCTAACGCCGTCTGTTCAACCTCATTCCTCTTTTGTTTTTTTTTTTTACATAAATAATGATATGCTTTAGAAGCGGATGTCAAATTTGCTACCGAAAGCAAAGACAGCAAATCAGAAAACTTAATTCCGGTGAATTGTTTCAATATGATAAACAAGAATTTGCTTCATATGTTTACCGCGTCTTAAATGTTTTCCATCCCTCCGTTTCAAATTACTGGGACGACCGAAGCCGGGATTGCCCATCGCCGGGTTTAGAGATGGTCGCCGGGAAATCGGTGCCGGGATGGTCATCGCAGTTAATAATTCGCATCTGACCTGAAATAATCGATAACCATCTATCTCAAACTCCTGTTCAAATTGTGTTTCATAATATATCCTTTGATTTCCTCAAGTTCTAATCCAACCCCTGTCATACTTGCTTTTCATGTGGTGTAACGGTTGCTCTACATTTAGATTTTATTTCTTCGAATTTTACAGAGGTATGTCAGGTTGATTATTTTATTTCAAGGTTTAGATCAGCCTAGGCACTACATATCATAGAAAATTTACATGGTGTCGAAATTTAAAGGGCCAATAAATTATGTGACCAGTGGAATTTCAACAATAAATCTGTAACCATTTGGTGGAATTGAAGATTGTCCTTTTTGCGGATTTTAATTTTTGCAGAGCATTGTTTTCATAATGGGTTCCGGATGTCTGGAGACGAGATGTCGTAAATAAAGCTAAAGTTGGTATCTTAATATTGCCCTATCTACTCCAAACCCCAAATAAGCGTCATTAAGTAGTGAGAGAAATGCAGAATCGGCATATTTCAGAACTACGTGGGATTTGATTTATTACCTTAGCTTTTGTTTAATTGTTAGTGGAAAAATGAATAAAGCGAATCAACAAGTAAGATTGGCCGTGTTTCAAAGACAAGAAACCATTTTGTGGGTGTTAGTTAATCAGGAAAGACAAAATGGTTCCTTACGAGGAGATTTGTAGTACCTATGCATTTGGTCTTGGGCAACGATATAGCGAGGTTAGTTCAGATTTTGGGTTAACAGAGCAAACAGTCGTAATAAGAAAATAATAAACTCGTGTGCTGGGAGGTTCGGGCATTAAAAAACTCAGTGGTGGATTACGGGAAGGTGCGCCGATCAATGTCTACATAGAATTTGAAAGCTCTTGGAAGTGCCTTGTTGGCAATAAAGTAGATATTTATTGAATTACGTATCACCTTGTAAGAAGCAGACCAGAAATACAGTTGTGGACAAAATAATAGCCGTGTAATACATTGATCGGAGCGATTGGTGAGGTTCCGGCCGCCCCACTCGCTGCCATTTTTATAGTTAGGGTTTTAAAAGCTAGCAAAACACTAATTATTCGTCTTTAAACTTTTTACCGGTAATCGTTTAATCCAGATTCTAGAAACTGCGCACAAATTGGGTTAACACACTTGTTTTTTATCTTAACTAACCATTTCAAGTATGAACGCAATGAAACGATCTGTACGTTTGCCCCAATGATTTCGTGGAAAAACTTACTTAAACACGATCACGCGAATCTAGGGAATGCAATACCGGGATCGCGGGATCCGCACATAAATGGAGCGGGATCCCGCGGGACTGAGGAATTTGTCGACCAAGGGGACGACTCTGTTTACTTTGTTAATGAAACGCATAACAAAGAAGTTATTTTTTAAATAATTGTTAAACTTTTTTTGTTAAAAATATACTATGATTTTTGAGGCACTTTAGAAGTTCACCTTTTTGTGCTTTACAGGTGAGGTTTTTTTTGAGTTCTAAGTTAGTCTGAAGGAACTTTTTTGTTAAATATTGTGATAATTAGCGATTTATTTTAATACAGAAGTTAACCGCACAGAATTGCTTATTTGGCAATTTATTTAGTTTTGCGGGATTCCGCAAATACCGGGATCCCGCGGGATTAACATCTAACAATCCCGCGATAAGACGAAAATCTTCACTCACGTACATTTCATACATTTGTTCACGATTGAAAATAATTCAGCCAGCCGGTCGATTCCTCTGCACAACTAAATTAATTTCCCGTTTGCATAGATTTGCACCTTAGTTTATTTATTTACTCGTAATGGCAACTCAACAGTGGATTTAAAAGCACACACGGCCTGTAATTTTGTCAAAATGGCAACTTTCTAGCAATTAACTTCAACTTTTGCAGTAAAAATACCACGTACAACTACGCAGATGTTAAATCTTGCGTATACCTATCTCGATTACACGAATTTGGTTGTGAAACTTTCAGCGGAGAATCACTCTCTCCCACCCAATTTTCCTAATATACTCGCCGAGTTAAAAAAAAAACAAGGTTCGGCTACGTTTTTGATGCAAGTAAGGGTATTATAGCAGAAAGTTTGCTCCTCATGCTCCGGAAGAGCGGTCATTAGAACCGGCACACTCACTGCTATCTGAAAGCGCTTCATTCTTTCGCATTTTAGTTTCGTTATTTTTCACTATGTAGCGGTACCAGTATAAAATTTCCTATACTCGCAAGTTTGTAAATCCAAAACCAAATGTTTCTAAGCCTTAAGCGCCCAATTGCTACATTACACAGGAGCGTAGGGTATTAACAATAATAAAGAGAATTCATTGGATTGCTTCTATTCTATTCTATTCATAGGGGAGGCCGACCAGCCAGCACTTAGGAACACCAAAGCCGTTCGAAGCCCGTTCTTCTCAAGAAAGGATAGTACCCTGTTTAGTGTTTAGCGTAAGTTGGTTCACCCTCCCAGGTTCCAGATAACTGTCGCCAAGGATCTAATACTATAGATCTGATGTCTGTCTGTGATCAAGGCGTTCTAGTGACAAACCACATGTTCGGTTGTTTCTACTGCCTCGTCACAGAATCTGCACGTGGGCTTTCCTAGAAGCCCAATGTTGTGTAACTGATAGTTGACCATCCAGCGCCCCTTAAGGCCACTGGTAATCTTCTTAATCTGGTTTCTCTTCAGTTTTATACGCTTGGAAGACTCACATTTGCCAAAGGGGCCTTGTTAAATAAGCTGTCTGAGTCCGGCTGCTAGTTGCCACTCACCCTGGAATTGACTGATCACCTTGATCCTGGCTTTTTTAGGGTAGGCTCGGGCCCGGCGAAAGACCACACCACTGCCTTCGCGACCCATGCCCGTTCCCCTTTCCGTTAGAAACCGGTCCATAAACCACATGGACCTTAGGTTTCAAGAACGGGAAATCTGAGTTCGGCCATTGCTCCCGATCCGGGAGAGGCACGTTGTAACTCCTCGGTGTTAGTAAGACACCCCGGATCACATCCCTTCTTGTGAGGAGGGTATCGGATCTGAGGTGTTCCTCTCGGATCCGCCCGTGCCTAAGGCTGCCTCGATCCTCCCACTCCTCCTAACCCAATCGTTTAGCCGTATTGAACCCTTCCGAGACTCTGCCTCCACAGCTAAGTGTAAGGCTCTAATCTCAGAAGTGCCCCTATGACCAACGTTGGTTTGATTTCAATAGCTCCAGTGACTCCTAGGTACGTGAGTCTCCGAAGCCGGCCCGTGTGGCGCAGTTCAGTTAAAGCAGGACTGTGGTGCTAAGGGTCCCTGGTTCGAATCCAGGTTCGGGCATGGATATTTGTAAATGTATAGTGGGTTGGTTTGATAGAGCAGCCTTGGCTGAAACCCCGCCCACTCAAAAATAAAGGCAAAATAAAATAAAATAAAATAAAATAAAATAAAATAAAATAAAAAATAAAAAATAAAAAATAAAAAATAAAAAATAAAATAAAATAAAATAAAATAAAATAAAATAAAATAAAATAAAATAAAATAAAATAAAATAAAATAAAATAAAATAAAATAAAATAAAATAAAACCTTTCCTAGCCGTTGTCCTGCTCATAGTAGCCCACCAGTAGTACAGTATTATTGGCCTCATCACTACAGTGTAAAATTAATATACCAGTCGAGAGTTCAGGCTCCATGTACATACAGCTAAAAGCCCTTCTACGTGCCCATACACATGCAGGGGACTTTTTGCTTAATCGCTCAATGTACCCTTTCCAGGTCAGGCGGAAGTCTATGATAACTCTCGAATATCTCAGTCACCTGGTCAGACGCAGTCGCCGTATTGGAAGAGTGAATCCATCAAGATAAATAGAACGAACTCGGTCTTTTTTTAATTAACGGGTGGGGGGAGGGAGCGTGGCTACTACCACCTATCCACCAGTTAAGAAGATCGCGCGATCACCGGCGCATTCCTGTGTATACGCTTCGTCCTCGCTCAGAGTGCAGAGGATTCCACAGCAGTGGAGACAACACTCCACCCTGCGGAAAACCTCTAGTGATCGAGCAGCTCACCTCCGTCCGTCCGTCGTCCAATTAAGGATATAATGACCCTGCTTCCGAGCATGGCGCGAATCCATCAATGCTAAAGCCTGAGAGGCTCTAAAGGAGGTGTAATAAATGGAAGAGCAGCGGTTACAAGTCCTTCTGCAGAAGAGCCGGGAATATCCCGTCCGATCCCGCATGGGCTGAACGTGTTGACCTCCATTCGGTAACCCCCCGGCCTACATTCCAGACTCCAGTTTTACACCGACCCGGGTAGCACCTTTGGTGGTGGGTCCGAAGTCACGTGGCAGTGTTTTTCCAGAAGAATATTTTCAAAATTTTAAGGTTATTTAATTCTTAAAAAATTGTGGGTCAATTCTTACCGGATGGGTCGTGAGCAGTTAAGTGCTTGGGTAAAGTTACTGGGGCCAATCAGACTGGAGGTAAGACAATCTCAATGTATTCTACATGACAAAAACAGTTGATTCAGATTTGTTTGGCACGATCTCATG